TAATAATTCCAAGATATATGAAACACCAAAATTCTCCTCTAATGAATTTCTCCCAAAATCACTTTGTATCTAGCTTCCTAGTAATTTAGAAGGGCGGTGCTCAACACTTTGGTTGAGCCCGGTGGTCCGTTGTTATGTACGTTCACCCTGGGACTATCGCCGGTACCACAACTGCTCAATGGAAATGAAAACAACTACTTTAAGTGTGCACACCCCCTAAAGGTTTTCCAAGCCCTCCGGGTTAGTAAGTCGATCCGGGTAGCCGGGATGTTTTCTACCAACTACCCCACCTCAAAAGCTGAGTGATTAGGAGCTACTACTACCACTACTACTCAAAAGCCGAGATGTTTTCTACCGACCGTCAATTCACCTCAAACCAAAACCAAAAATTGAGTAGTAGTAGACCTAACCACCCTCCACATTTTAAGGGACATGGAAAACCAACATCACAGATTTCTCCCGTGATGCTCACCTTTTAAGAAAATATTTATTTTTCTCAAAATCAATCAAAGTTTATACTTCAAAAATTCCCTTTGCACCAAATTCCCACAAAGATACCAAATTATGTACTATTACAAAATCTCCCAAAAACGCATACTACTCATATCAACAAAACAATATATCAACTAATATCTCAAATACAACCCTTTCATATAATAATATTCACTCAAATTCAGCACACATAAATTCAATTCTCAAATATGCACACAAAAATAATTAAAGGAAATCACGAAGAAAAAGAACTAATTTCGATTGACGTGAAACTTACATTAAGTCCCGATGCTCCTAATTCTTTTCTTCAATTCCGGTCTCTAAAGATTCACCTTTTTAATTAAGATGATATAATTAGCCACTTATTCTATTTGTAATTATTTTACCCGATTTTCCCCGTTTATTCTATTATTCAGATTTATTATCATGATTAATTAATAATTCGAAGGTTGTCTATTAATCACTTTTTATTAAACAAATCACTTTATTATCAATATCACTACTACTATTATTATTAATATTATTATTATTATTATTGTTATTATTATTATTATTATTATTATTATTATTATTATTATTATTACTATTATTATAGATTTTCGGTCAGCCAGTATTTTATAGGCCCAAACCCATTTTTTTGTTTTTGTTTCGGCCCAACCAATTAAAAGGTTAAAAGGAGCAGCCCGAATTAAAGATTCAGCGGAGAAGAAGAAGATCATCTCCTTCGTCTTCGCCGGAAACGAGCGAACAACGATCGACGGAAAGTACAGGGCTTACCTTGAAAGAGACGACAAGAGGAAAGGCGGCGAGTTCGGCTGAGGTGACGATCGGTGGTGTGTAGCAGGCGGCGGCGTCTTTTCCACTGGTTTTAGTTGTGAAGTTTTGGCCGGTGAAACTCCGGCGAGCTTGTTCTTCCTTCTTCGACGTTCGTTTTCAATGATTCTTCCCTCGTTAGATTCCTCTCTCGAAGGTGATGTTTTAAGAGTGTTTTCACGCTCTGTTTGTATGTATAATTAAGGTTTGAATTTTCGTATACAGATATATACGTATATACGAAGTATATATATAGGTTTGGAGCTTAGCTATGGTGTGGATGAAAACGTAGGTAGAGGCTGGTATTTATATACACAGGTAGACGGTTCTAGGTAGGGTTTATCAGAATGATTCACAAGCTCAAGTTTCGGAAGTAAATTTTTATCCGGAGTCAATGTACGGAGTAAATCGCTTGGAGTATGAATATGGCCGACTATGCATGTTGTATACACTGCTGCACTCGTACTGGGTCTCCACAATTTTCGTAGTATTATTTTTATTCTTAGTAATATCCTTCTTTATCACTTCCTGATTGCATAAGTTACGGAGCTACTAATTTAGTTTCCTTATTATATAAAGTTTACGTAATAGGAGTATCAGTATAACTATATTATCACGTATATTATAAGTTTGTATATTATAAGTTTGTATATTTTATGTATTTTATACACAAGTTAAAATAACTTTTATTACTTATGCCATAAGTATATCCGGTAGTAGATATAAAATGTTACTTTTATTATCGGATCATTTTTATCAGATTAAACATGTCACAAATGATAAATTTGTGTCTGGTTTACTTATTTATAAAATCTTGTTTCTATTAAAATGTTTTTATCTGACTAAAACGTCGTAAATTTTGAAATTTTATCTAATTAAAATGTCACGACTGTTGAATTTTTGTTTGACTCACTTTTAAAATGTCATTTCCGTAACATTTTATCTGACTAATAAAAATTATTATGTTTTTTATTTAATTTTTTTTTGAGTGTCACATCATCTATATAGCGATGATAATGGGCGTCTACATGACCCCGAGGACTACATCATCCATGATGTTCCTAGTCATGCCATAATTGTGAGAATAATTAAATCTATTAATAATGACTAGAGTAACATCTACTATTGATGATTCACGATGATTGGTTGGAAGTCCTGTTAGAGATTTAACGCTTCTATCATCATGGACATGCCACACATCAGTGTTTACATTGATGTGGTGATAACGGAACACCTCAGTGTCTCCGACCTTGTTTTGGTTTTCATTTCTTTTTGGTACGTCTTTCTCTTTTCTTTTCTCTTTTTGGTACTCTTCTTTTTTATTTTTTCATTCTTTTGAGTACTTCTCTTTTAATGAGTTTTTTAATGAGTTAAATGCAGAAAGAATTACAAAATATTGTTACAATTCAAGTGCTCAAAGTCAAATACAGATGCATCATCAAACTCGAATGTAGAGGGACTTAACAATGTCAAATTACCCATTCACACCGGAAACATACTTAATTACAATACTTTATTAGTATGCATATTATATATACACTGATTTTAAGGAGTTATCATATGTACATTAGTTAAAGTGTTTGGAAATTATTGAGAATACTGCACTCAATGAGGATACATCAAGAGCATTTTGAATATAAGACGCACGATACAACTGAAAAAGTGCTTTAATTGAGAAAGAAATCTAGAAACATGATCCTCAAGTGCCACCATAGAAATTGCCATCCATTCTCCATTGGGGATCCTCATAAATGCTCGAGGCTTTTTATTCGGAAAAACCATTTCCGAATTTGGGTTTTTTACAATATATTCCACAATGCTAGTACAAATAAAGAATCATTATAACAGTCAATAAATACTATTTAGCATTACATATGCAATTTTTAGTCAGACATAAAACACCAACGTCTATAAAAAACACATTTGGTGTAATAAATTTAATTTTCATATAAATAATCTTCACGTTATATCAAGGAATACTTATCAGTATTATATACTCCATATGATGAGAAGATTCAAATGTAGAATATACGCTGAGAAAATTTTGATAGATTTCAAACAAAACCCTTAACAAGCAACCATTAATCGTGGTGCTAAACAAGCTGCCAAACTACAACTGGACTTGGATATAGTGTTTTATTGTTTTATAATTTTCCGATGTGGGACAAAATACTTTAACAAATTTCTTTTTGAAAGAGGAAGCACTTGAGTTACAAGTAATAATTCTTAACATATTTTTCTAGCTAATTTGAATGTGAAGACCTGAGGTTCCATCCTAAAAGATCAACCTGATAGGAGGAGTCGCTCATGTCTTAATATAGCACTTCGTTGACTCAAACATTTCTGGTGTGGGATTTAACACCCCTCCTCACGACCAGACTCTTTGTACGGAACATGCCGTCATTCATTTTTTTCGTCAATTCGTCATTGTTATTTTTTTATAATCGTGTCAATCATTTTTCATAAGGGACACACACCATGGATCGATTTGACTCTGATACCAACCATGTTAAAACTTGGGGTTCCATCCTAAAAGGTTAACCTGATAGCAGGAGTCGCCCATGTCTTAATATAGCACTTCGTTGACTCAAACATTTCCGGTGTGGGATTTAACATTGAAAAGTAAAATTTGAAAGACATGTCCATTTTTGCATGTCCCGTATATGTGTCTATGCAACATATTCAAATATACTGTCAATTAATTTGTTATCATCAATATATATATCTTTGGTTTTTGTACTTAAGGTTGGGCCGCCATAGGGGTAACATCTATGCACATTCAGCCTCACACTACTCCTAAGTGGGGATAAGGCTCAAATTGGACACTGTGATTTCATGAGAATCTCATATTGGATACTAAAATTTTAAATAGACCAAATTGGACACTATGATTACTTATGTATCTCATATTGGACACTGAAATTTCATAATTCATAGTTTTTGGACACTCACTTATGATTCTCTTCTTCCTTTAATAAAAATCGTTAGTCTTACATTTCCTTTCCTTTTTGGTGAAAGTAAACCAATTTAATAACGTATATAATTTTGGAATATTTAACTTGACGTTTTAGAATATATAATTTGATTTTAATTAATAACTTCTTATATTTAACAATTTAAAAATATATTTAGGACTTTACATTCATATGATTTTTGTGGAACTTTAAGAAATATCGATTTGTTAAATAGATTTAAAAATATAAAAAGAATTCAATTACATTATAATAGATTTTCTTAATTGGAGCATCTAATTATATTCTAAACCTAAATACACAAATTAAGTTATTTTTATTTTTTAGGTACATAAAACTAAGAGAAAAGGAATACTTATATCTTTAATTTCAAGGTGAAAATCTTTGATGGGTGTCAAAAAATGATTAGAAAAATGTAAAATTTGATGAATTTGAAACTTTAGTGTCTGATATGAGACACACAAGTAACCATAGTGTCCAATATGGTCCATTTGAAATTTTAGTGTCCAATATGAGATTCTCATACAACCATAGTATCCAATATGAGATTCTCATACAACCATAGTGTCCAATTTGACCTGTATCCCCTCCTATGTGAGATATTACAAATTTCTTTTGGTTACGTTTATACATACTAATTGTTCTTAGATTTATTTCTGAGCATGAGTAAATGGGAAACATATCATATAACACAACTAAATAAAAGTATGATATGATATTTACCTTTTCAAATAACGTATGTAGTCATGATCAATCTGGAGAGGTGGAGCATAATAATACACCTTAGCAAAGTCTTCATCAGATAAACCTAGTAGTTGCTTAGGTCCTTCTATTGCGGTTTCATCCCTAAAAAAGTAAGGAACCATATATACCGACGAAATTAAGCATTCAGCCGAGCAAGGGGAGGGTGAGAGTAAGTTGTTTTGACGAAACACTAAGGCTATGAGGCTATATGTTTGGGGCATCAGGTGAAATGGGAGGGTGAGAGTAAGTTATTTGAGGAGAAAGCGAGGAAAAGATGGGAAACTCTTCTTATTATTTGAGAGTAGTAAATTCGAAATAAGTGAATTTTAGAAGAAATAACAAGTACATTTAGCTTAATCGATGTTCATTTTAAATTTAACTTAAATTATCATTTAATTAATCAGTTATCATTAAAAACCTTTCATTTCGGAAGAATTTAAAAATTGAGCATTTGAAAGATTTAAAAATTTCATTTCAAAAATATTTCAAACTCATTCCTCCACATTTTTAACTCTCAAAAACAAATATGAGGATTATCAGCCCCTTACATGTATTCCATTCCCTTCCAAAAACGAACTCCAAAACACACCCTCGGAGAAACACAAAAATATGACTATTTTTTAATTTTCCGAAAGTAATGATAAAATACGATATTTATACCCTTTAAATATGTTCAAGCCTCAGAGTTCAAACTTGAGTACGAGCTTGACAATTTAAATAAATCGAGTTTGAACTCGAGCTGAGCTTGGCTCGAGCTCAACTCAAACTCAGTTTGAGCTCAAGTCGACTTTACTAATTAATCTTTATAGGTTTAAATTTGATTAAGATGCTCGAACTTGAGTTTGAATTCAAGCTAAAAATAATATTTATATTTTCCCAATTTTTAAAATAATATTCATATACTCCCTCTGGTCCTAAATAAACTTCACACTTTGACTTCACACAAATTAAGAAAATAAATTTGACTTTATTGTAGAGTACACTGTTGTGACACTGTTTGACACTGTTTTGCACTATTTTGATGTAGATAATTTGCCATATAAGGAAGGGAGAAGAAGTGTGAAGTTTATTTAGGATCGAAAAGAGTATTAAATAAATAATATCTAATATTTGTACTCAATCATTCTCATTATTTAGTTTCTCTCTTTCACTCACATTTTTACTCCTCATTTTACTATCAATTAAATTTTAAATAAATACGAAGTAATAAAAATCAATAAATAAATTAATATAGATATACAAAAAAATTATCATATTTATTTATTTATATGTTTTTATTTATTTATTTATTTATTAACTTTTTTACTCATTTATTTACTTTTTTATTTATTTTATTTTATTTAATTATTTATTATTAATTAATTTAATTATTAATTGGTTTATTTAATTATTCAATTATTTAGTTATTTAATTATTTATTTATTCATTTATTTATTTATTAATTTATTTATTTACTTATTTATTTAATTATTTATTTACTTATTTATTTATTTATTTATTTATTTATTTATTTATTTATTTATTTATTATTTATTTATTTATTTATTTATTTATCTATTTATATATATAAAGAGATAAATAAAAAGACCTCTTCCCGTGCAAAGTGCGAATATATGCACTTTTGCGTGTTTCTGTTGTACTTTTTCACGGTAACGAAAAAGCTCAACATATTTACGAAATTGCCACCACGATTATGGTCGAATTTTATGCATTTTGGCTCATTTTAAGCCATTAGATGTGGAAATGAATGCACAAGATTGATTCTCACTTTGCATGGGAAGAGGTCTTTGTATTTGAACCATCCCCCATATATACACACATATATTCATTTATTTATTCATTCATTCATTTATTTATTCATTTATTTATTGATCTATTTATCTATCTTTTTATTTATTTATTTATTTATTTATTGACTTATTTATTTATTTATTTAGTTATTTAGATCTTATTATATAATTATTTATTTACTTATTTATTTACTTATTTATTTACTTATTTATTTATTAACTTATTTATTTATTTATTTATTTATTTATTTATTTTTTATTTATATATTTATTTATTTATTTATATATTTATTTATTTATTTATTTATTTATTTATTTATTTATTTATTTATTTATTTATTTAAGTATGTATTTACTGATTTATTTATTTATTGATTTATTTATTTATTTATTATTACTCACAAGCTCAGAGCTCAAAGGAATCGAGTTTGGCTCTTTTATTTAATGACCAAATTTCATATGAGATTTTTTTGGACGAATAGAAAAGGAAATTAAATATGAGATAATCTTAGCAAGAAGAATGAAAAGTACTATGTGGTAGTGATATTTAGTAAAGAAATAATACCAAGAGATAGGAGCAATGATGTATCTGTCAGAGTCAGTATCATAGGTGTATAACAACCTATTCTTCCAATTGGAATCAATGACGCAAAGACTTCGACGAGCTTCTCTAAGAATTATAGCTGGGCCTTTTGTAGTTTCATGAAAGCGTGCTGGAAGTATTGATCCGGTATCAGTTTTCACCTAACAAAATAAACATCCAATAAGATAAACCGTACTTCCTCCATTCTTTTATTGCCACAGTTCTGACTTTTACATTTATTAATACATGATTTTGGTTACTAATACTTTTTATTAACTATTAGTTAAAATAATAAAATGTTCATATTTTCATTTTGCAAAGAAGATATTATTACTGCATTTTCATAATATAATATTTTACTACAATAATAAATTAAAGGGAGATTTGCATTTTTACTTCGATAACTTGCCGGTGTGACTGTTATTAGTCTTTGTAATTTAAAGATTTTCCGGCAAAAAATAACTTAATAAGATGCTGATAACGACAACTTTTCCGATTTACTTTTTATGGGGAAGTATACTTTTCGGGGGAAATTCCTTAATTTGCAAATATTTACACCCTCAGCCCGCCAACATTGTCCCATTTTTTTCAAAATCTCACTAAGATTGTATTATGCCAAATTTGGTAAAGTTTGTGTGACTCTAAATCATTCTTACTTTATTCTTACTTTATCAATTCAATGTCAACTACATAAATTTACTTTTTTTAATAACTATGTCGCCTTTTAATGTCTCAATGTTAGTGAGACGACGGTAATGTTAGTTAGTAGCTAAAGGATCAAGTTTAAAAATGACTACAATTACAACATTAAAATGGCAAATTTCTTTAAATAAAATGTTCTTAAGTGAAGTATATTAATAGTGTAAAAGTCATCAAATGCCCAAATGTCACATTTATCTATCTTGTCTTCAGTTGTCTTGATGGATTTGGGTTTAATATATGAGTTACTATATGAGATTCCAAAAAAAGTTACTATATGAGTATATTTGTTTTATTTTACTTTCCTGAAGTGATTTATTTTTTAAAAAAATGGAATATGTGAAATAGAAAAAGCTGATACTGTTTTAAAACAAGGAATTTGGAAATGTAAACTTTTTTTAATAGAAAAATTAAAACAATTGTCAAACACCCCTCTACTAGCTCCCAACTTATTCATTTATATCGCTCAATTAAAGTAGCAATACATGTTTGAAGATATTACTTTTAACTCTTTTAAAACTAAAAGTAGAGAATCACTTTTTAAGCAATATAAAACACTACTTATATCAAATTGATAGTCCCTCCATCCCTTAGAGAACTTCATGTATTCCTTTTTTTGACGTTTCAATTCTACATAAACTTCTATTTTCTTATTTGGTAAATAAGTTTTAATCAATTTACTCTACTATCCTAAAGTAATTAATAATGATTGTATATTTCAAACAATGTTAATATAATGTACTAAACACTACTCCAGCATAGTACTATATTATTTATCAAGTCAATGGCATTTCATGAAGACAAAAACGTATATGTAGATTTTCTTATGGTGAGTACTATTCAAATTAAGATTTTCTTTAAGAAATGGAGAAAGTATATATAGCTTACGTACAATGAAACCTTCGAAGATTCTATATGCATTTTTCTCCCTATCATATTGGGTATTGTGATCAAGAACATGTAGAGTTTGAATGTTGAATTTTGCAGGGCTCTTGAATAGGACTTCAATTATTTTGGAACATAGGGTAAGAGAAACTCCTTGCCGCCACCTTTTATGCTACACATATTCATACCCATATTAAACACCTCGGGCGGGCATTATGACATCTTCTTGCGATTATTTAGAGAAAAAATAATTTTAAAAAAATATTATTCATTATTTCATTCGTTAGTAGGGTATCAAATAATTCAAATGCATTAATATATATAATTTCAATAGTTGATGCATCTTTTATGCAAAGATTTGCAAGTGATAAATTTAAAAATAATAAACATACAAATAATAATATACTTCCTCCGTTCTTAAATAAGTGCAACAGTCAACATTTCACACTTGACGAGGCACAACTTTGACCGTTAATATATATAATTCTCTATTAGTAAAAAATTTTAAAAAATAAATTTTTGAAAATTTACTATGAGACAAACTAAATAATATTTTTTTTAAAAATATATATCAATACATCAATAAATAAAATGTAGTCAAAATAGAACATGTGAATAATGTAAAATCTAACATGTTGCACTTATTTAAGAACGGAGGTAATATATAATAGACAAAATTTTCAATTAGGACATAAGTGTAAACAAGGATCCTGACTTCATACGAAATGTCTTTGTAACCACCAATTAAGTGCACCTGCATATGAATCATGTTCTTTTAGCTACATTAATTAGAAACTTTTAATCGAGAAAGCTAAATTGTTTCCTAGCTTAATCAGGATGTTAAAAGCAAATAGTGACATATACTCTCACACCGTTAAGAATCTGTTTCGAGATTTCATGCTAAAAATGTGATATAGTGATTTACGTAGTATTACTTTATATCAATCCAATAGACATAAATGCATCAACATGTCCCAGAGTCCCAACCGGATTGACTATATTAGGATGTATAAATTAGCCAAACAAATCCTTAACAGCTACTCTTAATCGGTAGTGCTAAATTAAAATTAGAGATTTCATTCTAAAATATCAATAGAGGAGCCTGACAGATTTGCAATTTTAATCCTGTAACTTTCGGCTCTTATCGTTTTTGGTCTTGTAACTTTAAGCACTAGCAAATTTGATCGTGTAACTAATAAATCTTTGTAATTTAAGGACTTTCCCACCGAAAAGTACACTTTCCGGCGGAAAAGTTCGACGCCGGCGACATCTTTTCCGTAATGCTATTGCCGGAAAGTGTACTTTTCAGGAGAAAAGTCCTTAAATCGCAAATATTAATTCGTTAGAGGACCAAATTTGCATGTGACTAAAGTTACGGGACTAATAATGATAACGGTCGAAAGTTACGGGATGAATATTGTAAATTTTCCTCATTTGTATGTATTGATTTTCCATCGTTTCGGCACATTGTCTAAAAAATTGAAATTGCCTTTTTCTGATTTATTTAATAACAATAAAAATATATGGAACACACGTTTATTAGTAAAAGAGAAATGTAAAAAAATTTAGATTGATGAAACATGAATGTATAAATTTATCAAGGAATGTGTAAATATAGTTGTATGCAATAAACAAATTTAGGATCAAAGAATAATACATCATAACTAGCATTGGAGTCCTGATTAGAAATGGAAGACAACATTTGCCCTAGGCCAGCTTCAACAATATTGGGAATATCTATATGCGCAACAGATATCCTGCAAACCATGTAAAAGATTTAGCTAGTGTATTTATATATAGGTGGAACTAATAAAGTTTTGCTTTGTTTTTCAAATTTACCGAACCATGTGAAGATAGAATACTAATATGATTTAATATTTGCCTTAATATTGTCTAGATAAACTGAAACAAAAAATTTGTGAAGTGTAGTTTATGTCCACAAAATTTCAGTACAAAACTTAATCAAGAAGTTTATTAAATAAGTTATTGAAAAACACTGCGTCAAGGTATATATAAATTTCACTTTATCTGCACATTTTTTTACTAATTTATTTAGCTAACTTAAATTTTAGATGAAATATTATTGATATAATCTACATTTCATGAAAAATATGCTCATAAAGTTTCATAAAAAAAATCCACTCAAAACAACTGAAATTGTCTTTAGTGCACATTGAGTTCCGGTCAGGCCGACTGATAGAATAATATAAGTTCTCGTATAAATAAATAAATAAATAAATAAATAAATAAATAAATTAATATGATTTAGATCTTACTTTCTATTTTTAGGATTTCGAATGATAAGTCCTACGCATGTTGAAAGCCCATCAGTGCCAACCGCCTTTGATATGAAAATTAACAAGAGAATGTTTTGTCAACAACAAAACTTCAAAGCAAATTAAACGAATGATGCTTTATGAATAAAGAAATGCAAAACTTACATCAACTAATGAGGGGTTCACAGTTGCATATTCTTTTTGCATAATATATACCAATTTTGTTTTTTGAATATCACAAAACGAGTGTTCCACTTCTCGGATGCCATTGAATTCACGTGATCTAGATTTCAAGCGACGGTCCATCATTAAGTGCATCAAGATTTGTGTTCCCTACAAAATAATCAGAGTAATTCGAAGGTAGGAAAAGTCTGTATACGTTATAATTAAATTTAAGAATTTCAAAATAAGATCATCATAGTTGTATCAGTTAAATAAGATTAATTACTGTCATGATTTAAGATCACACTTTTTCCTTGAATATTACTAAACTGTAGCCAATTTCCAAAAAATGACAAGTTTTACAAAAGGACAAAAGTGACTAAGAAGGTCATATATTTGAAAAAACATGTCACTGCCAAATTTTATATAACTAACATATTTTTATGTCACTTTTGAATGTCACTATATCAGTAGAACATGTCGCTATGACAATATTTGTTCAATAAAACCACCGCATCCACGGCGACACCGCCATAGTGATACACTGACTCCGACCTCAGTGTCCTCGATTGGTCATGTGACATCTGCCCCGCCTCTTCCACTTACCTCTGTTGCCTTGCATCTGGCCCCAATAACCGCTGCATGTACCTGTCCTGTGCCCCCCCGCCCCATCCCCACCAGCCCCAACAGTGAACCCACCAGGCCCTACCCAGCCCACCAGCCCCAACAGTGAACCCACCAGCCCCTACCCAACCCACTAGCCCCCTTTACAATTGTGGCCTCCGTCCCACCCCTGCCACTACCCCACCCACGTCAATTACCCACTGCCTAGTGACAATTTATACTGTACAATCGGTTGTACATAGAGCATGGCATAACCGGGTTTTTTGTAATTAGATTCAACTTTTAGGGTAACAGTTAGGTTAATCTTTGCTGGAGCATTTCTTTTTCCGCCGCTACTCTTCCGGTTGTTGGCTTTACTCCTTTTTGCTTTGTTTTCTCTTTCCTTTTTTCGTTGCTTTTCACTTTCTTTGTTTTTCAGTTTTTGGTTGCGTTTCGTTTTTCAATGCTTTAGTTTTTTTCTTTCCTAGTTCTTTCTATTCTTTATTTTTTTCTTTTACGTGCTTTAATTTTTTATTCAATTATTATGCAAATGTATTATATAAAATATCGGTAATGTTTGAGTTTGGTTTTTCTTCTTTTTTCGATCAACCTTCTAACTTAAGTTTTTTTAATTTGTGCATTATAAAATATATTAGTTATTAGTATTTTGTTTTTCTATTTTAAATTTTAAGATGAATATTTTTAGTTTATTGAATAACATGTGTTAATTACTAACATGGGTTTTGTGTTATACTAAAATGAGTATAATGTAAAATAAATGTGCATGAGTAAATATTATAAAAACAATAATATTATATTTGTAATTCAAGAAAAAAAAAGACTCTAATTTTTTTCATAAAACATTTTTATATTTCTCACTGTTATATAAAATGATAGTTTAATCTACTAGATGTACATATCATAGAAAGAAGCTTATGGTATATTTGAATGAATGTAACAATTAAAAGAAATGAGCATACACAAATGAGTATTTAAACACATTAGGGAATTCAAATGCGTTTTTGGATTTTTGGATACTCATTTTGTAAGTTATTTATGCTTATCTTGTATTGGTTTTATGCTCATTTTAAAATGTTATATCAATGCATAATTTAAAACTATCATATTACATTAGTTTCGCATGATAGTTGATTATAGACACGAAAGTAGAGATCATGATACTCAATTGCATGCTTCTAATACTCAATATAGTAACTTTGATGCTAAAATGTATTGATGTTAAACTAGCAAAGCTTATTAATTTCATATACATGCTCATTTTGTAATGCTCATTTTGTAAGATACATATGTGCATTTGGTACTGGTGTTATGCTCATTTTAAAATGTTATATCAATGCTTTTTTCAAACTTATCATATTACATTAGATTCACATATTGGAAATTTTAGGAGATAATTATAGATATAATTTGGATTTATATAATACAAAAAATAAGAAAAACAAGTGAATTAGACGTTATAAAAGCAAAGATCACGATGCTCAATGTTAGCTTCATAATACTCACCATAATAAGTCTGATGCAAATACTAATTCTCATTTCTTATAAACATTATACTCTTTAACGTATAGCACAAAACTCATTTTTAAAATCCACAAATCTAATATATTCATCAAAAGCCAAGTTAATATAATTACTTTCATTTGCTAAATAGATTTAGCCATGAGAAATGTAACAATCTTATTAAATCCTTGTTCTAGAATTACAAACTTTGTTATGCTTATTTTATAATATAATGTTACACTAACGCACATTTATTTTACTCATTAACTCATTTTGGTGTAACAAAAAACACATTCCAATATTGCACATGTAATAATTAAACACATTACACTTTAAATTAATAAAATTAGCTATGAGTACTATTTTTAATAGAAAAATGGAATCAGTGGAAAAGTATATCTCAACAGTTTTACAAGTTCTTTAAACATCAAATTCAATGCATAACAAAACCATATAAAATTTGCTAAAGTTGTAACCATAGAATAAAGTTAGAAAAATTTAATCATCATAACAAAATATTATGAAAAAAGTACCCATATATCAATATTTTATACAAGTTCAACAATATATCAATAAAATACTCGATCTGTCAAAAAATATATTAACGTTCTCTTTCAATTTTTTCAAAGAACAAGTCTTGCATGTTTACATTAGTCACTAAAAAAAACATCTCATATTTACCTCAGGTAAATCACAAGTACCGGTAGGAAAGGATATTTGGTTGATGATCGAGATGTGCATCTATACAATGAGTCAGTTTAGAAAAATCGAAGTATTACTAATGAAACAGGTAGATGGATTTTTAAAACAAATTGTATCTCATATTAAATTTTTGAAATTCACGGGATACAATTTTAGATACTCAATGTAGTTTAAAAATTATAAATATAAAAAGAAAAAAGAAATAAAGAAGAAGGAGGTTTGGGTGGAAGCAAGATGTAGGACACGGTCAATTAAGGGGAAAGAGGATAAGACCAAAGGATTAAAGGGCTGAAAGTTGATGGGAATTACAAGTTTAACCGGCCGGCTGTACGGTGCTCTCCGTCGCGTACAGCCGGTTGTAAGATATGCATACTCTATCCCTTGCAATCGGCCAACCACTTCCCCACCACCGCCCTACCTTATCGGATCAGACCCTATCCAAAAATAAAAGATTTCAGATATGGAAATATAGCCGTCTAGTTGAACGGCGGCGACACGACACAACACTCCTTGAGCTCCAAGTGGTCTTTGTTTTTGGCTTGGGAGGGCATTGAATGGGTTGCGGGCGAGAAGAGCGGAGAAGAGGAAGAGACGAGTTTCAGCATCGGCGCAGATCTGTCACTTTCGCCGAGGTAGGGGTCATTGTCGTCACATGATTGCACCATCTTCTCTGTAGCTGCGCCTCACAGCCGCGATCGATGCCGAAGGTGTGAGAGGTACCGTCTCTGAAGATCCAGCCGTCACTGTGGTTTTGTCGTTTCTGCCGCTGACGACCTGATGCGAGGAGCTTGTTGATAGCCGTCGGGGATGAGATGATGCGAGGAAGTGGTCAGGCGATGAGGAGAGAAGGAAGGTCGATCATTTCTTTTCTAGAAGGTTATAAGAAAGGGCAGTGCCGATCCTACCAAAACTTGAGCCTGAGTCGAACTTCATAAAAGGCCCTATGCATTATATTTTTTTACTATAATTTTCTTTGAAATTGAAGATTAAACATTATAAAAACATGATTCATTGAGTCAATGCAAGTGTAAAAATTTAAATTTAAAAATCCTTAAAATGAAATATTGTTGAGTAAAATAAGTTTTTAATTCTGGATATTCACTTCAAATTCAACCACAACCTCTGTGGTGGGTTAAATTAGATCATTTACACAATAATAAATGACTTTACTAGTTTGAAAGCTAAACACATAAATGAAGTAAAATCATAAAAGTCTTAACTTATTAGTTATTTGATACGGACTATATGATTATTGATTAATAATCAAATCGATTCTTCACTAACCAATTCTCAATTCTCAAAACTCAAGTTTCTAACACAAAAAATCAGAACACACATAATGACATATTCACATAGCAACTTAATCACAATCACAGAATAAGATAAAATCCTTGATGTTGATCGATTATATCTATAGACCGGAACAAGGGAGTCACAACTTAACCTTAGCTAAGGCTCTGTTGTTGATCGATTCGTCTAAGGCCGGAACAAGGGAATCGCAAATCGCCTTAAGACCCTTCTTCTTCTTCTTCCATTTGTGCGCTGATGGCTATTTCGTTTTTAAACCGGCCGAACAAAGATAATTGGGGGATTTGGGGGTTTTCCTTTTTTAAGTACAATAGCGGACAAAGGTTGTGCAAAGGTCAAAGGAAGCCCAATATGTAAATTTAATACATATACTCCGTATATACTAAAGAAATATCTAAAATTTTGGGCCCTAAAATTTTAACATTTTTTGGGCCCTGATGCAAGTGTCTCATCTGCCTCATGCACGGCACGACCCTGGGAAGGGATTATGTCACTTTTTTGTCAAATTAAAATATGATCATATTTTTGTCTTTTGAAACTTTATAGGTTATATTTTTGCTATTTCTTATTGTAAACCGCACATTGTATATATTTTGTCAAAATAGTCAACCCTGGTATTTTTATTTTAAGGGTTTTGGGAAAATTGGAACTTTGAACTACATATCCAAAAAACCGGGTGCACTGCATTCATTATGAAAAAGTAATCTTCGCACCTCATACATCGTAATTAAGATTTTGAATTAATGGGATCCACACATTAGCTTTATGAAGATGGAAAGGAAAACTCAATATTGCAAAAATATGGAGTATGTAGTCAAATAAATAATTAAATTTATACAAAGTATATAAATATATAATACATACATAAATAAATAAATTTACACTTTATTGGCATCAATAAATTTTTTTTATATTAATTTGATGTTAGCTAGGGAATAGCATGACATTTATTTATTTATTTTAATTTAGTTTTGAATTATTTTAAGTGGGGGTGAATTATTTATCTCAAATTAAATTTTTAGTATATTTTTAATTAGGTATCTATTTTTAATTTTAGAACCTCCGCACCGGGAACTTCTCGAGGAGCCTCATTATCGAGCCCCCTCGTGACTACATAAGGGCCCTCCAACGGGGAGACCGGTATGCGGAGGCTGAGGAGGTGGAAAAATGCCACCAAAACCCCGAGCAGCAACGGCCGAGGGCAGATGATAAAAATCACCGGGGGCCGGGAGCTCCATTCCATCATTCCAAAGGCCCGTCCCCCTCGGGTGACCGCCCCTGGCACGGCCAAGCAAAACCCGAGGGAGGTTACAAGAATAACCCGAAGGCCTGGGCACATCCCATCCTTCTGGAGCACCCTCGGTCCCCCCTCACACAACCCATTAGTGTCATCCTGAACTACGCTGAGGAGAGAGGCCTCGTGGAGCGCGACTCTCGCGCACCCTTGGAGGTATACGCCGTCAACCCCAATGAGCCATATTGTCGCTTCCATCGCAACCAAGGGCACATAACCGATGACTGCAAGCAGTTGAAGGCAGCCATCGAGAGGCTTATAGAGGCGCGTCATCTGTCCCAATTTGTCAGGGGCCCTCAGCCTCAAGGGCCCCCGCTAGAACCGCCGGCGAGGGCAAATGCTTGGGTTAACCCAAACACCATTCCCCTCGGTGACCCGAAGGGTAAGAAACAGGAGATCGGGAATCTCGATGAGGAGGAGGAGTACAACCAGTACCAGGAGAAGAAATGCCACATCCTCATGATTAGCGGGGGCAACACGGGGGGAGACTCCATTGGCCAAAGAAAGAAGTGGGCACAATCGCTTTATGTGGGGGAAGTCACTCACATGCCCCCCGTAAAGCAGATGAGAGAGGAGCCCATCATGTTTACCAACGCCGATCTCCCCCCGGTTTCCTCTCCTCATGAGAAGCAGATGAGAAGGAGGCATCGGGTACTTGAGGGGGAACCAAAAGCTCGCCCGCGCCTGCTATCTTCAGATAACGAAGAAGGTTAGTAAGAATGAGTTCCGAGTAGACACCATCACCGAGACTGTTGAGGAAGAAGAGAAGAGGCCGAGGGCTAAACCAACTGAGGAGGTAGAAGACTTTGTGCTCGATCCGGCCAAGCCGGAGAGAGTCGTGAAGATAGGAGCCAAGCTCCCTGAAGACTTGAAGACCGGCATCACGGATGCCCTCCGCGCCTACTCCATTGTTTTTGTATGGGGGACGGAGGACATGCCGGGCATCAGTCGAAGGGTTATCACCCACCACCTCGCGGTGGACCCTTCCTTCAAACCTGTGCAACAGAGAAGAAGACCCCTCTCGGCCGAGAGGAGGGATTTTGTGAAGAAGGAGGTTGCCATGCTCCTCTCCATCAAACACATCAAGGAGGTGAAGTACCCCTCATGGCTTGCTAACATAGTCCTCGCACAAAAGCCACCCACCTTCCGCATGTGCATGGACTACACGAATCTGAATAAGGCGTGCCCCATGGACCCTTTCCCGCTGCCAAATATTAACCAACTGGTGGATGAAACGGCTGGATGCGAAATCATGTCATTCCTCAACGCCTTCTGCGGATATCACCAGATCTTCATGCACGAGGAAGACGCTGAAAAAACAGCCTTCATGACTCCCGAAGGCATCTTCTGTTATCTAGTCATGGCCTTCGGCCTAAAGAACTCAGGCGCCACTTACACCCGGATGGTGGCTAGGGTCTTTCAAGCCATCCTAGGGCGCACCATGGAGTCCTATGTTGACGTAATGATCGTCAAGAGCAAAAAATCAACAAGCCATGCTGACGACCTCTGGGAGATCTTCACCATCATGCAAAAGTTCAACCTTCGGCTAAACCCGAAGAAATGCACCTTCGGTGTACAAGGAGGCAAGTTCTTGGGCTACATGGTGAGCCGAAGGGGTATTGAGGCCAACCCCGAGAAAATTCAAGCGATCATCAACATGGAGCCCCCACGCAACGCCAAAGAAGTCCAGAGATTGACGGGCCGCATGGCAGCCCTCAACCGTTTCCTGTCTAAGTCGGCAAAGAAGTCCCTTCCCTTCTTCGAGATCATGAGGAAAACCGCTGGCTTCCAATGGACGTCAGAATGCCAGGAGGCCTTCGACGAATTGAAACGGTACTTGTCCTCATCCCCTGTGCTCTCCAAACCCAAGGTGGGTGAGACTTTATATCTCTACCTTGGCGTTAGCCCTGCTGCCATTAGCTCAGTGCTAATCCGGGAGGAAGACGGCGTCCAACATGCCATCTTCTATGTTAGCAAGACTCTCAGGGAGGCGGAACTCATATATTCTCCTGTGGAGAAAACGGGGTTAGCCATCGTTTGGACCGTCAAGTAGTTGGGCCATTACTTCCAATACTTGTGACACCCCCAAATTTCCCACCCTAAAATAATACTTGGAAATAGAGATGAACTTTTATTTAATAATTAAACCTTCAAAAGTTTGCAGCGGAAATTAATAAAAATTAAGGAAAAGGGGCATGTCACCGCCACATCCAACCTTTGAATGGTTGAATGCTAAGGCTATCTACCCAAATGTAATTTAACAAAAATCTAGATGTTCGAATCATAAGTAAGTATCAAAGTTTAATCTAGTGAACTACATAGTGATCTTCTAGTTTGCGCTCTCAAACATTCCAGCATCAAAATCATCATGATCACCTCCTGTTAAATACGAGCACAAGAAAATAAAAAGAAAACAAACATTAGCAATAATGCTAAGTAAGTTCCACCTAACCTTTTAAAATAATAATAAATAATATATATAAAATCCGTACAACCTTTTAACATAAAATATTCTTCAAAACACTTTATAAATCATAAGTAAATGATACTTATACAAAATCCCAATAACATAACCCATAATACCATAATAATTCCAAGATATATGAAACACCAAAATTCTCCTCTAATGAATTTCTCCCAAAATCACTTTGTATCTAGCTTCCTAGTAATTTAGAAGGGCGGTGCTCAACACTTTGGTTGAGCCCGGTGGTCCGTTGTTATGTACGTTCACCCTGGGACTATCGCCGGTACCACAACTGCTCAATGGAAATGAAAACAACTACTTTAAGTGTGCACACCCCCTAAAGGTTTTCCAAGCCCTCCGGGTTAGTAAGTCGATCCGGGTAGCCGGGATGTTTTCTACCAACTACCCCACCTCAAAAGCTGAGTGATTAGGAGCTACTACTACCACTACTACTCAAAAGCCGAGATGTTTTCTACCGACCGTCAATTCACCTCAAACCAAAACCAAAAATTGAGTAGTAGTAGACCTAACCACCCTCCACATTTTAAGGGACATGGAAAACCAACATCACAGATTTCTCCCGTGATGCTCACCTTTTAAGAAAATATTTATTTTTCTCAAAATCAATCAAAGTTTATACTTCAAAAATTCCCTTTGCACCAAATTCCCACAAAGATACCAAATTATGTACTATTACAAAATCTCCCAAAAACGCATACTACTCATATCAACAAAACAATATATCAACTAATATCTCAAATACAACCCTTTCATATAATAATATTCACTCAAATTCAGCACACATAAATTCAATTCTCAAATATGCACACAAAAATAATTAAAGGAAATCACGAAGAAAAAGAACTAATTTCGGTTGACGTGAAACTTACATTAAGTCCCGATGCTCCTAATTCTTTTCTTCAATTCCGGTCTCTAAAGATTCACCTTTTTAATTAAGATGATATAATTAGCCACTTATTCTATTTGTAATTATTTTACCCGATTTTCCCCGTTTATTCTATTATTCAGATTTATTATCATGATTAATTAATAATTCGAAGGTTGTCTATTAATCACTTTTTATTAAACAAATCACTTTATTATCAATATCACTACTACTATTATTATTAATATTATTATTATTATTATTGTTATTATTATTATTATTATTATTATTATTATTATTATTATTACTATTATTATAGATTTTCGGTCAGCCAGTATTTTATAGGCCCAAACCCATTTTTTTGTTTTTGTTTCGGCCCAACCAATTAAAAGGTTAAAAGGAGCAGCCCGAATTAAAGATTCAGCGGAGAAGAAGAAGATCATCTCCTTCGTCTTCGCCGGAAACGAGCGAACAACGATCGACGGAAAGTACAGGGCTTACCTTGAAAGCGACGACAAGAGGAAAGGCGGCGAGTTCGGCTGAGGTGACGATCGGTGGTGTGTAGCAGGCGGCGGCGTCTTTTCCACTGGTTTTAGTTGTGAAGTTTTGGCCGGTGAA